AACTGAAATAGGATTTATTTTTGTAAAGTTGTTTTTAATATATCTCCTTTTCCGGCCTAATATCTCCCTTAAATCAGAACAAGTTTAAAAGGCTTCGCAAGTTTTAAATATTACCTACATGTACCACCTCTATATCTGTTTAAATAGCCATGCAGTTCACTGTTGCTAAATAAATACATATTGTATATCGTTTCTCTTGTTCTGGTCATTTCTTTATTTGTAGAGCGAGCAATAAAGATAGCCACCTCTCTGAAAACTTCAAAATGGAGAAGGTTTTCATTCTTTAATGCAACTAAAATCCAGAAATCTGATTTGGTCCCGTGAGTTGTAATTCGTGTACACTTGCTGTGTTGTTGTGATGTGACAAACAAAAGAATTGTACATAAAATCAAAATATGGCAGTGTGACTGGATTCGCTGACAAAATATTGGGGTTGACTAACATACATGATGTATGTCACATCAACCCTCTTAGCCTTGCCCATCATGCTCCCAGGGGGAAAGTGAGGGTCTTAATTTTCAAACTGTAATCACATTGATAACACAGTGAAATCCGCTAAACATTAAGTTCTCATTTGTCAGAGAAATAACATGATATATTATATTGAACGTGACACAGATCACGTTTTTTCTGACGTTTTTCAGCCGTCAAAACTCGGAGGTGACTATGTTTAAATGTGCAAGTGCTACATGGTTCTACAAAAAAGATTGTTTAACAAAGATATTTGTGACTGACATAGCTTTTTCCATATTAACAGTGAAATAATCAGGTTTCATTTGTTGATTTGAAATGTGCTGTTACCCATACTACTGCTAGTTACTACTCAAATTGCGCAAAATTCATGAATTCAACTTATTTAGTGTGTGTAAATAAAAGGCTGATATTTTGTTAAGTGACCATTCAGGCCAAACATTAATTACCCACAGTAATGGGAGGCCCTGACCACCTACAGGTCACAGCTGGGCACCTTTGATGAGAGGCCCTGACCACCAACAGGTCACAGCTGGGCACCTGTTACCACAATGAGACAGCATGGAAGAATTTATAATGTCCCATCACTAAAGCAATAATCCACTATTGCTAGCCTGGCTGGCTGCTTCCGCTTGTTCCTGATTGACATACTTGCCAACTCTCCCAATTTTTTACCCCTAAATTTAGTTTTTCCAACCAGTAAGTTTGCTTTAACTTTTCCGGAACAACTCAAAATGTTCAACTAATATTATTTTTTTGTTATATCCCACATGGAAATTTCAAAAAGTTGGCAGGTATGGATTTACCTGCTTTTAACAAAACAAGGGAAGGAGAGGGGGGGGGG